TAAAATTTATTAATTAATAATTCATATCATAAATGTATATTGTGTTAATCTATTGTACCAATTTCAGCATTAATTTAGAACAGAATAGAAATGGACGTAAGTCTTCGTGGTTTAATCAGGCTTTATAAGATGACTTACAAAAAGATGCGAAACTTCCATTGTTTATATTTATGATACTCTAAATTTAACTTAAGTTTATGTACGTAAAAAGAAGAATTGTGTATTAAAGGACTATATGAGTGATGATGATATAGTAACTATGCGCACCAATACATGTGTGTATATTATTTGGTTTTAAAATATTGTTAACTCCATATAAGTTGGTTTTTAAACGTACTTAGTTGTATAAATAATGATGTTTTGCGCAACATTCCCCTATGAATTAATTATATGACTTTAAATTTCTTCTTAACGATGAAATAAATCATGGCGATAACACAGTTTTGTCTAAAGATAGGTAAAGACGGTATGATCACGGTCAGGTTCCCCAAAAGTAGTGTGGGGAGGCAGTGGGGGCCATGAAAAAATTCGTGGGGGTCGGTGGGAGGGTCGTAGGAGGTTAGTGGGAGGATGTGGGATGTTTTGAGAATAAATACTATACAATATTTCCATGTGATTTGGTAGGAATGTGGTAATAGACTTTAACCCATTGACAGGGCTGGCAAAATGCAACGTTACAAAATGCTAACAAAAAAAGTCAGCCCACCAAAAACTTTATGCTTACAAAGAAACCAAGGGATCTGATAAATCGAAATACAATTGATTGTATTTAAGTTTAGCTGATTATAGTATTGTGCACTAATCTGTTAATATGACATGTAACTCCAATGAAAGCAGCTTGGAGACTTCAAGAATATCCAATTTGTGGTAGAAATCATACAGTTGTAAATCTAGCTGTTCATCTTGAAACTAAACAAAAACTCATATTTAAAGAAAATAATATNAAAATAATAGATAGCAATGAGTGACTTAAACTTCAAATTTAATTTTCTCAATAATTTATTGGTTAAATGATTGTTTTTAAGTCTTTAACTCAATGTATATGCCATTTGGTATTGAAAATAAGATACTCAGACCCTTTTTTTGACTACCTATAGAACTTAAATAAATGAAACCACTTTTGGAGAAGTGGTATTTATTTACAAAGAATACCTCATATGTGTGTGTGTGTGTGTGTGTGTATGGGTGATTCTGCCGTAATTTTCTCAGATTGTGTACGGTACTCGCACTCACATGCCATAATAAAATCCAAGACTTTAAGAACGTTAAATTGTGTTAAATGTTGTCAACTTCACTTGACATATTGTCTAATACTGATATATTAATTTCTTCATTGAGATAATCGATCATTTAGAGTCAAATTTTCCATTCTGACCCATGTCCACAACTTAAATTCACTTATAAAAACTTTTACCGGTAAATAATAAAGCTTATTTGCCACATGGATGTGTAAACATTATATACTTGAGCTATTAGGGATAGGAATTGTACCTTAGCCCAACCAAAAATTGACATAGATGAGTGAGTTCTCATTGCATGCATTTTTTCCGCATATTTACACTATAATAACGGTTTTAACAAAAATCAGTTCAAACTAGTAACTTTTTGGATTAGAAATGCTAACCAATGGTCACTTTTCGAAGTATAGGACTAAAAGTATTAGAAGTTGTTACGTCTCCAATAGCCAAGCTCTTCTATTTGCGTATTTCGTGCGTACAAACATTTTATTCCATTTTGACTCCCCATAGAACCAACCCACAATATTACAAAAGGATATTTATTTTTTACATGTAATGTACATGTAAACAAGTGAATAAATCTGTTGAATAACAGGAATTAATAATAATTGATAATTTTATGTAACGATAAATTTATCAAAAGTTGAGCCACGAAATTTATCTTACGCTAGAAAAAAAGGTTTTCATGAAATCAAAATTATACGTAAGGTTAGTATTTTGTGAATTCTTTAAAAATATAATTTTTTGTAAACCAAGTTTATTTATAAGAGACTTGAGACAAAATATATTTATAAAAACAAATATCATAAAATCAATAAAGGATGTGCTTGTTAAAAATAAAGAAATCACTTAAAAAAATTTTCAAATGCTTTCTCTATCCGTAAATAAAAAATTATAAAAAATCATAAGACACGTTTAAGAAAAAACAAATGCCATTCACATAAACTTTAAGAAGTTAAAGGAAAAAAGGTAAAATATTTTTTTCTTACAAAAAGCAGGCGTTATACTTCGTGTTTCGTGGGTAACTGTAAAATTTTTATTATAGACAAACAGTCTGCATTATAAATCGAAGTTAAGTATATTTATTCTCTTAATACACCTAATACATTAACGTAAGGTGCATATGACTGACATATACGCTTCTAACTTTGTTGATTCCTAACATGACTATAGACAACTGTACCTGAGGGTTTCTAGTCTTACCATTCGGTTTACTAATTGTTAGATAATAAACTTGTAATTCTATGATAAATGCATACTATTAAGAGTATTAGTTCTTAGAGAAACTTTTGTCCTAATCAAAGTCATAAATAATATTAGCACTAGGAGAATTTTGAAGAGCAAATAAATGTAAAATTAGTAATTAACATTTTTGTTTATAGTTTTTTTATTGATGATTCATTAAAATATTTGATAGGGATTCCATCCCTACCTCTAGTAGCCAAAGCAATTGTTTTCTTGCTCTCCTCACACTGAAGTCCATCCCATCTATTTTCTAAGGAGACACTCCTTTTTTCAATATGATTACTAACTTTTTGCTTCAAATAATTAAGAGAAGTTGCCTGACTCAAACATTCCTGCCCAAAATTTCTTACTGTACCATTTATAAGGGAAACATCGGGTTGATGAAGGCTCTGAAATACTTTGTAATTGATTCCTTCAGGTAGAATTTGTCGAAAATCAATTGAATAAGGCACAACACTATTCCTCACTTCGTTAAAGGCCAATTCAATATCAAACGGAGTGACTACTGGCTTATAATAATTGTATGTATCCATCAAGCTATTTTCTGGACAACTTACTATAATATATACATCTACCTGTAACAAAAAAACTGTTGTAGCTATATTTTTTAATAAAACAGAAACAATAAAAATAATAACAACTATTTTATCCAATAATACCACGTGTGAAATACTTTACAAATTAACTAAGGGTTATTAGATTATTGTAAAAGGTACGTTAAATGTTAAGATTGTCAGAAAAATGATGAATACTTTTTTAATACATGAAATTGGTCTTGATTTGTATTACAACGTAAGAAGTTATACACGGCTTGCCTTACTTAGCTGTTTCTTGCTGTTTGATATTGAGTGCAAGGAACTGTATTGAGAAGGTGGCGTGGTTGAACATTAATAGCTCAGGACAATAACTTGGATACGGTCAGTGAATAAATGTCCTTCGAAACAGCAGTAATAAAACGGCATGGACTTTTATTTGAATGAGAAGGTAAAGAACAATATATTTACAGACACTTTCACAAATTTTAAAGTACAGCTTAATACAAAAGACGTCGAGCATTGGGACTCCTTACATATTACGGCAAATGTGTAAACTGAGTTGCTGTAGCTTTACGCAATGTAAGCTAATATAAAACTATTTTGCAGAACAGTGCAAAACCAAATTTATGTGAGTGTATTCATATATATGCTAGTAGGGCTTACGCCCCCCTGCGCGCACTGCGCGCCAACCCCCCAACTTTTGAATATTTTATAAGAAATACATTTTTACAATTTTAGTATCAAACTCGGGATTACCAGAAAATTTTGATCTTTGTGTTTACCCTAAGGAAGTACCAGGCACATATCCTACAGAAACGATTTTAAATAAGCTTTCGCATTTCATAGATCCAATGGTTTTTCCCCTATTTTTTCCTTCAGGAGATTTAGGGTGGAGTACAGGTTACTTCAAAAGTTATTCTAAATCAAACAAAAAACTTTTTGTTTTGCAATATTACGCAAATAGATTGTCCTACAGACCAGATGATAAAAATTTTAGTCCCTTATTATACGGATGAAAGTTAACTCAACAATTTTTCATACATTCATACATTATGATTGAGCATAATCGTTTAAATTATTTGAGATACAATCAAAAAAATTTAAGAATAGAGTGTTACGAAGGATTATTAGATGCGATAGCTAACAGTGCATCAAATTTATCTAAAAATTTTGAAACAGAGTAAAAAATAGGAAATCTTAATAAACTACCTTCTACGTATATAGGAAGTCCAAGATACATGCAGAAACATTATCAAGATGCAATGGCTATTATGAGCAAATGCGGTAGACCAGACTTATTTATTACAGTGACATGTAATCCTAAATGGAAAGAATTGAAGCTTTTATTATCTAAACTTCCAAAAAATACAACACCAAATGATATTACAAATATTACAGTTCGGTTATCCCACACAAAATTACAATCAATTTTTGATGACATTATTAAAAAAAATCTTTTTCGTAAAGTATTAGCATACGTTTACACTATTGAATTTTAAAAACGTGGTTTACCACATGCACACTTATTGATAACATAACATCCTGATGAGAAAATCATAACATCTAAACAAATTAATAAATTTTTTTCGGCTGAAATTCCTTCAAATAATATAACCTTAGAAAATTAGTGATTAAACACATGCTTCATGGCCCTCATACGGATAAAAGTCCATGTATAAATAATTCTCACAAAAAGTGTACAAAAAATTTTCCAAAAACTTTTACAAACCAAACTACATTTTAAAATAACGGTTACCCACAGTATATGAGATGAAATAATATGTCTTAAAAACATATTTACAAAAGTCTGAACATAGATAAGACTTATGTTGATAATTCAATGGTTGTTCCATACAATAAATTTTAGTGAATGAAGTATAAATGACATTTAAACGTTGAATATTGTGCATCAATACAAAGCATAAAATATATTTATAACTACATACATAAAAGTATTGACAGAGCATACATTAAAATAGGAAAATCAAACGAACTAAATGAAGAAATAGTAGATGAAATTAGTAGTTACGTAGATGCTAGATATGTAAGTCCAATGAAAGCAGCTTGGAGACTTCAAGAATATCCAATTTGTGGTAGAAATCATACAGTTGTAAATCTAGCTGTTCATCTTGAAACTAAACAAAAACTCATATTTAAAGAAAATAATATCAACAATGTAATAAAAAATTATCAAACACCCCTTACAGCTTGGATTGAATTAAATAAAGTAGATGATTTTGCAAAATCACTAAAATATGTTAACATTTCAGAACATTAAATTTTTGACAAAAATTTGGAAAAAAAGGAAAATTACACTGAAAAATATTGCTATAGATAGATTAAACATAGTATCTCCAAAAGATCATCAACACTTTTTTTTAAAACTTATTTTAAATAAATTACATGGGGCTACATCGTTTGAAGACGTTAAAAAACATAATGGAATAATAATAACATATAAAAATTTCAGGGATACTGCAATTGCAACGGGTTTAATAGAACATGATTCTGAAATCGACAATATTTTTAAAGAAGCCATAACAATTATGTTTCCATACCAGTTAATATAATTTTTTGCTTGGTTTTTAATTTCAGAAAACATTCAAGGAGATAAAATATGGAATGAATATAAAAAATATTTTACGGAAGACTTCGTTATCGATAATAATAATTGTGCTCTTCTACATATTAATCAAATTTTGGTATCGGAAGGTAAATCATGTGAGTCTTTTAGTTTACCGACACCAACCATTAGCAACTATGTAAATAATTGCAATATTGAGGAAATATCTTTCAGTAAAAATATGTTCGATATAATGTACACAAATTGAAATGAAAATCAAAGAAAAATTTTTAAAACTATTTTTAACAAGATGAAAAAGTATATTTCATAGATGGTCATGGTAAATCTGGAAAAACTTACTTAAATAAGACACTCATTTATTATTTTATTTCTAGAGGTTAAAATATTATGTCTATGGCTTGGACAGGAATTGCATCTGTATGACTACCAAAAGGTATGACCAGTCATAGAACTTTTCGTTTACCTCTAGACTTAGATAATATTGAAAGTGTATTTTTAGAATTTGAAACTGAAAAAAAAAAAAATTAAAAGGAGTTGATTTAATAATATGGGACGAGGCTTCTATGATTCCGAAAAAAGCTTTAGAAATCGTTGATAGAACGTTGAGAGACTTGCGTAATACAAAACTTTGCTTTGGTGATAAATTAATA